CAGCTTTTTGAAAATTCACCTTGATTATCAGACATTAAAAGTGACTTCTCCAGAGCTGAGTGTCTGGCTAGGGGGATGGCTGCAGACAGCAGAACAATGCAGCAGGCTTGGTATTAATGCCTGGCTGTGGTGTGCAGGGAGGAGAGAGGAGCCAGCCCTTTGTTCTCTCCTACAGCCAATTATTTTTTACGTGTGCCTCTTTTCACAACAACAAGAGAGAATTTAATTTTAATGCACTCTCTGGAAAGAAGGGGGGGGGGGAGCATCTAGCTACACTATTCTTAAACAGAGATGGAGACTAGCGTCAGCAGTTAAGTATATATGCACACAATTCTGCATGAGGCAGAGACGGATGACAGGGGCAACAAGAATGACATCAACCCAAACACGCACAGCAGCATGAATCCTCTCATGCAACATGCTAAAACACACACACAGCCTCAGTCCCGAACCCATACCAAAACACAAGCGTATGCAGCCCCACCCTTACGAAACAAAGACCAAAATAAAAATACCCTAAAACACCATTATTTCATTATACAGCATAATGGTGCTGCTGGAGGGTGGGGAGGGTTGCATATTAGCATGTGCATACCCAGGACATGATGATAAAAAAGCATGCTGTAAAAAAAAATATATATATATATAAAAAAATATAGCAAGGATTCCTGATCAAATGGCATGAAAAATAAAAACCTAGGATCGTTGTTGGAAGGTATGTGGCCAAATATTTTTCTAATTGGAAGGGCACTTTATCTTGCTGTCAGAGAAGCAGTAAAAAGCAGCGCTGTTCCCAGAAGGAGAGGAGCACAGCTTGCTGGCCTTTTATTAGTGCTGGAGCTCTGATATATGCCTCTGCTGTGGGCTTTCATCAGGAACCTGCACCTAAACACATAAACAGACGCGCACATACACGCAAAGCATAGTTACAAAGCAGCCAGTTTGCGGAAAACCCATCGCAACTACTGTTAAAGGATTCAGCTGTTATATTTTATAATGTCCAATCAGCATACACTCTAAAGTAAATTACAGCCAAAAACTTTTCTAAAACTAACTGATGATGCCAACAGTAACTGGGAGCATTGTTCAGGTTTACAGTGATAATCAAAAAATAAATAAATAAATGAGTTTAAACAAAAACAAAAAAACAAAAATGAATTCAAATCCAAAAACAACAGAGCAGTGTGAGCACATAAACGTCTCTGTGCAACCACTGTAAAATGGTAGTGCAGTAACCCAGCAGTGTAAAAATGATTAAGTCACTAGAGAATAAAAGATCACAAAATAAAGCAAACACACAGAAGCACTACAGCACAAACTCTTAAATATGCAGTTCATGCATATTTTTTTTTCTACACAGAAGCACTAAAAAAAACCAAAAAAAAAACCCAAAACAGACTCATACTGACAGACGCACGGGCACATACAAAGACAGTACGACGGGCGCGCACACACACACACACACACACACACACAGAACACATGCACAGGCATGCACATACAGCCACACTAACACCACACTGGCTAAATTAAATTTCAGTCCTTGGGCAGACAACTAAACTGCTTGTGTGTGGGACCTACTCTACAGCACAGCAAAGCCAATTCTCAGGAGACGGCGAAATTAAAGGGCAGAATCCTGCCTGTTTATGGTTCTCACTCTCTGCTTCTCTCAATCAAATGTTTTATTAGCAATCATTGGTCCTAAAAGTCATGTTCTTGGGAGGCAGCTGGCATGATGACAGCAGCTGCTGGACAGACAATACCACTTCAGCACAAACCGCTCCTAATTATTTACAACTGCGCGAGAAGCCAGAGAAAATCTCTAATTAACCACAAGACAGCCGTGTGACGAAGGGTTATCCATCCTGGTGCTTCTGTCATGTAAATGTTTTCAGAGAATATCAAATGCAGTTTAAATAATCGTCAAAACTGAGTGTGCATATTAGCTGCAAGTAGCAGCTAACCAAGCAGAACATGTATAGCAGTTCATACAAAAGCCCAGCAGGCCAGAGAGTGTCTGGCTGAGCCAAGAGTAAATATTAAAAAAACCCAACAACAACAACCCGAGAAACCGCAATGGGAATAATAATGTGAACAAAACACTACAATAAAATAAGGCTATATGGAGGATGCCCTAACACAGAAAATCACTATTTTGACTCTCTTGTGTAAGCAGCTAGGAGAACTGTACCTGCTGAATAAGGCAGCCTTGTTGGGCACTCTGCATGTCATGCTAAGGTCTTTGCTCAAGTCTGAAGTCAGAAGAAAGCAAAACAATTAGATTTCCACTGTCCTTGCTTTACAACAACAACTTATATTTTATATTTTACTTTCTTACAAAATGCATTTATGGAGATTTTCCGGTCCCTGTTGCATTGTTAGATGCTTTAAATCTATTTAAATTAATTCAGTGGTTATTTTCACTTAAAGGAAAAATAAAGGAAAATGAACATGTGGTATGAAAAAAAAAAAGAGGCAAACACAGTGGGTTATGTTTGTTATGTTAACCATCTGTATGTGAAAGTACATACATATGTATGCACATTCACATGCACGCGATGACCTCCTCGATTTGCCTGTATATTGTATCACTGAGGCATCTCTTTCCCCCTCCAACCCCCACCTTTCACTACTCTTCTCTCCTTTGGTGTCTGGAAGCAGTAATCTGTTCCTGAGCTAGCGCTGCTGGGATTAGGCAGCGACTGGAGATAGGATATATGCGTCATTAAAGCAGGAGGGCACAGTGTTGCAGCAGCACAGACAAAGTCAACAAAGGTGACACGAAGACGGAGGAGACGAATACCAGAAACCCACATGTGCCCACACACGTGTAAAGAAAAAATAAAAAAAAATGCACATGTGCGTGAATGAAAACAAAACCTCTACTGTATGCCTGCAACAGTGTGCACGCATAAAATCCTCTTTTCTCTCACATACAATTTCCTAAACCTCCAGTGAATAAAATAATGCAGTGTTGCCATAATGGATAACTGAGAGAGAGGCAATGCACTAAACCTAAGGAACTAATGTGAAGACATGTACAGTATGTATTGCTGTAGACATCACAAATAACTATGAATATTCTGTGCATGTCCAGGATGAGGACACAGGAAAATTATTCAACATCATTTTAGATGCCAGAATTAGATTTATGACCTGTTTAAGTAAAATATAACACATTTCCTGTAAAATTAGCAGTAAAATTACAATTTACCTCTGTTTTAAAATGCTTTTTTAATAAGAAAATTGCTCCCAATCTGTCCCTCTTATCCTGGCACTGTATAACTCCGTCATATCTTTGCGGTAGCTAATCCTCATCGTCCTTACATTCGAGCCCCACTAGGGGACTTTCTGCAGTCTTTCTCCCAAGCCGTTACAACTGAACAACAAACTCACTTAAGTGCAAAATGACAGTTGCAGTTCTGTGATCTATTTGGAATTACTAGGACTTCTTAGGATGTTTATCTGAATCACTTAAGCTGTGCCATATCATATTTTCCGCAAAAATACCTATATAGGTTTTTTTTGCAATAGGAAAATATTGTATTGCGAAATCATCATAGTAATGGCATACCCCTAAGTTCCCTAAAGCATACAACAATTGAAAAACCCAGGCATGTCTGAGAGAGCCACAAGAGCCACGTCTCAGCCTCCAATGACTATTCAGAACCTAACAATGAGCTACTTCCACAATCTCCAACAAAGTACTTTGCAAAATATGCAAGAAAACCGTTTCTACTGAAGGTGGAAACAACAAACTTGTTTCACCAGTTGAGGCAAAAACACACCGTCAAGTAATAAACAGGCTATGGAGGAGGAGATGCTAACAGCTGGTGATGTGCAACCTAAATGTGAACAAATGACCGACTGTCGCTGTGGCACTCACTAGCTGCACTCCATATGACAGGAAGCGCAAACAGAGTATGGAAATTAATGATGTGGGAACGTGGTGGAAAAACAGGGCTTTAAGCAGCTGGTTAAAAAGCTCGACCCAAGACACGGCATCGCAGGTAGAAAATATTTTTCTATTATTTTATAACGTGACAATACTGTGCAGCTTCTGAAGAGATACAAGGTTAAGTTAGTTATTGTTAAGCAGTTCATTTATATTTTTACTTAAAACTTAGAGGGAAAACATTACTTAGGCTACTTTTACGCTTGACTTATGTTCTGCCACCAGATATAATGCTGTCGCCACTATTGCACTATAATGCAGCTGCTGCTGGCACCTTGTTTCAATAGATTCATATTTCAAATTAGGAAGTGTGTCGTCAATGACAGTAACTCAATGGAAAAGAAAGATACACTTCATTTACTCACACTGCTGCTGCCTGCAAGCTGCGAACATCAATAACATTTTTTGTTTTTTCAGAAATATTGTATCTCGAATTTTATTCAAATATCAATACGATCTTGAGGTTATATCGTCCAAACCTATAAGTCTAGCTATAAGTCTAAGACTTATAACTATATAAGTCACAATCATAGAAAGTGTTTCCTGGAAGTCATCACTTAATGAGTACAGAGTAATCACTGACAGCGCAGGCAGAAAAAGCATGTGAACTTCTCTCCTGCTGTTTTCTCCAAAAGCTATTTGGAGTAAGGTGTTCCAGTTACTGAGGTGCTCTAATAGAAAAGAATCGGAAAAGAAATTGTTTTGGATGAATTTCCCTGAAATTCTAACTGTTTAGGTCTAATGTCATTATACGTTTTAACATGATTTACTCCGTGGCCAATTTTTCTCTTACAAAATTGCTTCCTTGAATTATTTTCATTTCTAAAGATAACTGAAGTAAGCATGACTTGTATGAGAAACATGCAACTTGGGATGGGATGTTTTCATTGAGTAAATCATAGTATTCCTATGTGATATTCAACATGTACATTTTATTAAGTTTTTCTATTTTTCAAGTGTTCAAATGTTTCAAATTTGTGAGACCACTTAAATGTTCTACAACACGTCTGGAGTTATTTTTTATGGATCAAAGAAAAAGATTTACCTTTAAGAAAAAGAGCCTGCAGATCACCAGCCCCACCAGCAAAACACCACCTGTTAAAGAGGAACCACCATGTTTTAGAGCTCCTTTGCTATCTTATCGCCTGGATGCCCTGCAATCAGCGAGGGAAAAGTGAATATCAAGAAATTTTTACAGGAGGATGACATAGTAGTAGTCCACGGCCAGAAGGTTGGAGGAGGTCGGTGATGCAGTAAGACATAACAAAAATATAAATATAATAACTTTTTTTTTTAAAGAGAAAAGAATAGAATGGATAAAAAAGAAAATTTGTGTTTTGAAATGTCAACTCAGAGTTCTGACCTTAAACTAACTGAAATGCTGTGGCATGACCGGAAGAAGGCTTTTTGGTCAAGACATCCAGAAATATTCATGAGCACAGCTGAAAAGTTTTGTAGTGAGAAATGGTTGAAAATCCCACCATGTCATTGTTTAACTCTGATAATAAGCTACAAGAAACAAATGATGGCGATACTGCTGCTAAAGGTTAAAAAAAACACACTTTTTACAGATTGCACTGCAGTTGCTTGATGTATTCACTAAAGAACAACTATTTGTTTTACAAGTTTACTCATACTACATTAGTCTATAATCGTGATTTAAATGATAATCAGACCCGATTTTATCACTAATTACTGGAGAAATTCTGGTCATTGTAAAATGTTCTCAAAAACTTCCCTGCAGTTGTCTTTAAAAACTGGATGAAAAAAACATGTCTGTCTACAAACAGAAAGGCGGGGGAATACTGTATTATTCTGATATCCTGAGAGTGCGACCTGGTGATTTACTCCAGTCAATGAAAATTAATGGCAATCTCATCAATGTACCTGCCAGTTCCTGACAGAGTAAATGCCTGTTTTAAATGGAAAAAGTCACAAACATTACACTCATGTGCGATTTAAAATCTAATTTCAGTGTAATCTTCCTCAATGAAAAACCAAGGGCATTAAAATGGAGTTGTCCTGGTCCTTTTCATTACAACAGCACAATCAGACAAACAGTGAGGGAAATGACAAATAGATGAGGTGGAAAGTGGAAATGCTGGTTTTTCTATATCTTATCTAGTAGCAATGGCTGAGGCGTTTGAAGCCACCAAGAAATACAGAATACATACAAAAAGGTGAATATTTTGTAAGTATTTTGCAAAGTGTGCATTATTTATTGTTTTTCAACCCGTACCACATTTTTTATAACAATGGAAACAGTTTTAACCACGTGTCTCAAACTGTGAGCTACTAGAATTTTTTCTCTTTTTTTAAATGTGTGAATGATGAATTGCTGCTACAGTTTTAAACAAAGTAAAATAAAGCAAACTGATTATTATTGCACTGATAGCTTCTCTTCAGCATTTTAAAATACTCGTGTTTCACACCCTGTGGAAATTCTGTCATTACCAATTGGTCTACAGAGAAACTAAAACTTCTATTCCTCTGTTCAGACTATCATAATACATCTAGAGCCGATTGGAACTTTGATTGCAAGCACCTCTTTGAGCTACTCGTGCAAAGGTTTGGCTAATGCATATCTGCACAGCTGACAATGAATCATTTTGTTATAGGCTTCACTGAACGAACAGCTTGGCTGCTGTTGCTGAACTTTTTGTTCATGCTCAGGGGATACTTTCTGTAAAACAGCTCATGTTTCTATACAGGTTTTCACTGGCAAATGAATGCAACAGGTTAGTAGAGAAAACTGGTAAATGTAGTTTTGCAATGAAAGAGATGCAAAATCCCAGATTAAAAATAACCAGAAGAAAACTCAGTGACTAAAAGTTTTCTAAAGAACAATACAGTGCATGGTCAGCATCCTGTTAAATTACAGGCAGATATTAGCCTCACTTTGAACCTCGTATGTATTACCAATAGATTCAGGTATAACCATCCATTCGCCACTTGCAACAATTTTCATTTTCAGAATTTGGCAGGAGAGCAGATTGCACCGCAAAACTCGTGCTGAACTTCTTTCTCAAAAATACTATAAGGCAGGTTTTTAATATTTCCTGTATGCTCATGCTGCTGCAAATAACCTAGAATCTGTGAGAAATTCCATGTATTCATTGATGAGGCTTGGCTATCTAAGCTCACAAGATGTACTGAGAAAAAAAAAGTATTAATAGAACAAAAAAAATAATACAAATAAGAAACTCCCAACTTCTCACTCTAAAAAAATTTCACACTCAGTCCTTGTCCTTGACAAGAAATACCTGTGATTGGTCAAAGACTATTGTGAAAGGCCACATTTTTCTAAAGCCTGAAAACTGATGCAAGAGGAGATGCTGGAGTCTAAAACCAAACACAAAAAAAGATCTATCCATGTTTTAACTAATGAAAAAACAGAAAAATATGGTGAATAGTAAAAAATCGTTTGTAAGTCTTTTGTAATTAGCAACATTTTTATTCTTTCAGCATTTTGAAAGTAACATCAGAAGAGCAAGTAAATCTTACCCCTGTAACCCAAATCTATGCTAATACATGCGAGGCTCTTACTAAGGCTAGACGAGCACTAAATATTGCCAGATTCGTCTATGAAAGCGTAAGTCCAATGTTAAACTAGCCAAGTATAAAACAGCTAAAGCAAGCAGTATAATCTCATATCACAGCCTGTTTTCTGAAAATTGTTAAGTCTGTGTATTCCTGCACAAGGGGATGTATTCAGAAGCATGTGCATGGAGCGTGCTGGTCAGAAACTATGGTGGTGAATTCTTCAAGATCTGACCTGAGAGCTCCACTTCTGCTGCTTACACTCCATTAGTGCTTCGATTCTCTGCTCCCATTTGCACCAGGCACCCATTACCTGCAGCTGACAAAGAGAAAAGATGGTGTCAATGTACTGCAGAATATTACAATTCAAATGACCTATACAAAACAGCACAAGTGCATGTCTTTGACATTTGATATTTGGTTCTCATCCTCTGTATATGACTGACAGCGTTTGTTTCAAACGTTAATACAATTAAATCCGATTTGAAAACAAACAAACTTAGCACATTTGCGTTTGGTTGATTATTTCTTTGTTGTTACAATGCTTCTTTGCAAGAATCTGGAAAATGCATTTGTAGGCATAGAGCAGAGTTGAGTATGTGGGTTGTGCCCATTAAAATCTTCTCTGCCAATGCCAAACAGCTTGTTTGGTGTCATTTATTGGATTAGATGATTGAAGTCTGAAGAAACGGAACATAATGGCAATTTAATATTTTATTCATTTAACAAACAGGGACATATGGAAGAACCATACATAGCCACAACAGTCTGGCACCTCCTCTACATGCTGGTGACCAGCTTGGTCACACAATGCTGCTCGATGACGTTTGTTGCAAGTCAGCGAATGTTTTTGTGCTAGTCACTATGGCTCAAACAGCATGCCCAAGCTGATCCCACAAGTGTTGAGTGGGGTTGAAGTCAGGACTGGAGACAGGCCATTCAATCCTCTTCACTCCCAGATTCTGGAGGTAGTTTCTGATAAACCCTGCCCTGTGGGGACAAGTGTTGTCATCTAGGAAGATAGAGTTCGGTCCAAGACTGTGGAGATATGGGATTTATACTGGTTTCAGTCTCTCATTTCGATAAGTCTCTGCATTGAGATTGCTGCCGAAGATAGAATTTGGATTCGGTGCTGAAGTTAACGTTCCCCCCCCATGTTTAGGTGTCAGTGCACATGTTGGCAACACCAGCACAAAAGGGCCAGATAGTGAGAGGCAATGGCAGACCTCCTGGCAGTCCTGTGAGACCGGAGTTTGGCTGTGTGCACTCTTTTCTGGATTGTCTGGGTGGAGACTCGTCGGCCATATTATCTTGCAAACCTTGACTGTAAATCTATAGAAGTCTGCCTAGGGTTCCCAAGTTCTGAGAGGGTGAGGAAACAGTCTTGTTGTAGTGCTGTCTTCTTGGGACACTTTGCGGCTTGTCTCTGACATCCCCTGTTATATGGAACTTAGCCTTCATTTTGGAGATGGTACTAAAGCTTACTCCAAGTAATGCTACAACTTGGTTTTGAGGAACTGTAGCTTGAAGTTGCCTTATGGTATGGCCCTAACCAGGTCAGTCAATATGATGTTAAGATGTTTGGCAATGGCAGAGACGATTTGGCAAGTTTTTCATGAGTGCAACCCAAACACTCAACTCTGTTGCTTAACCCATAAATGCATTTTCCTTACAAATGTGGCACCATTTACGGAGAAATAAACAGGCCTTTCAACAGTATAATATTTATTCCCATGAAACATTTTTACAACAAAGATAAAAAAAATTCTTTACTTTTTGTGCTAAGCTCATAGTATTGATTTCTATTTATTCTACCGTAACCCTATAAAAACTGATTTCAAGTTTAATTCAGTTTAGTTCCTAATGGACATAATTAAATCTACAGCAGCCAAGAATCTAGTGAGCAAAAAACGCCAGAATTTCAAAATAGACAGCCTGCAGTTCCCCTACACCACTAACAGATCAGCCCAGGCAGGTGCTTAATTTGACTAAAATTGAATTGGTGGTCAGATTTCCTTCTTTTTTTAATCCAGTCTTCCAGATGAAACTAATCTGCTTAATCAACTGGGATAGGCCAATGTAGCGAGTCGTGACTTACACCGTCTAAAACCTAAAAACATACCCCAGAGGAGCTGCTGGAGTCTGGATTCCCTCTCAGACTACATGAATTAAAATACGTTTTATCTTTTTTGGATGAAATGATGAATGTGTTACATGTTTTAATTCCAGAAACAAATGACAGTATGTTACTCATATTGTATTTCAATGAGAGAGACTAAAGGATTTGATAAACATGAGTGAAATGGTGGGGGATTATTATGGTCAATGATGGCTGTAAGAGTAGTATGAAAACAAAGAAATTACGGGGAACAGGTAAAACAAACAACAACGTTTCCAGCTGAAAACACTTAAAGTATGACCATACAATACAAACAGTCTGTCTCCTGAAGATTAGCAACAAGTGAAACAGTCCCCTCAGAACAGTCAGCGAATAAGATTTCTTTTTCTTAAATTTGTATAGTTTTTTATTTTTAGAGGTGGCAAGAAGCATTTTATTCTCTATGGCTTAGAGAATAAAACCAAAGGCATCCATAAAATCCAGAAAGTCGGCTGCATATATTTGTGAATTTGACTATTTGCCAAAATGCTTGTTGATTCCACTGCTACGGTATATATCTTCTATATTATATGCAACTGTTTGTGAGAAAAATTGCACTCTGCATGAATACATTTAAATTTAAAGTTAAAAAAATTTGCATTCTTAAAATAACGTGCTTTTTAGTCCTATAAATATACAAACACTTTATTTCCACAGCAAAGCTACACAAGTCTAGGTCAGATGACATCAGAAAACTGCATTTAATCAATATGAAGCAACAATGGGATGCAAATTATTCAATGTGCTTATCGAAATGTTGTTCTTCTTTAAAAAATGACACAGATAGGTACATGAAGCATAATGGGTTTGAGTCTGAGGCCTACTGGGAAAAAAAATTACACAAAAAACCTTTGCTTAGCAGGGAACACTATACCTGACTGTGCCGCTCCTGGGCCTGCTGAGTTGGACTCTGTAGCTGCTTCTAATTTTGCTGCATACGACTGTTCCTCTCGAGATCCAGTCAGCTCTCGTGTAGGTCGGGCAGCAACTGAGAGATCCTTGCTTCAGGATGTCCAGCTACTAAACCACAAAGGAGGCAGGGCGCCGAGAAGAAGGGAAAAATCAATCGAGTGCACAGAGACTACACTGTCTGTGCAGCCAAACTGTTCACTCTGTAGCTAAGGCTAAAATGCACCATGGTTCCGATTCTCCAAGGTAGATACTCACATGCAGGCAGAATCCTGTGCTTCTTGGGCAGGCCTATGGCTTTGCTAATTCTGTCATGACTATAGCAGAGGATGAAGCTTCATTTTCTTATTTAAATCTAATGCCTCTTTAAACAAACATTTCAAATGCACACACCGAATTAGTAAACAATGCAATCCAATGGCTTAGATGGAACCTTAGTCGCTGCATTGCCTTAGTCTTCAAAAAGGACAAGGCTAAAACTGTCTGAGCAAAGATTCTGTCACACAAAAGATTTCTGAACAAAATAACTTTTAGAAGATAACACAACAGTGTTTAAGTGTAACAATATGTGGAAATCCTGAAGCAACACACAAAACACAACTGTTTCAGCATGAAGTCTCGCAAGGATAAGACAGACTGTAAAACAGGACACAAACAAACATTTCCCTGACCAGTAAGAGTGGCAACCATATTAAACAGGCCACTAATTAGTATAACCTTCTTGTGCTAAATCACAAGAGGTGAAGGCAAGGAGGGGGGAGAGAGAAAGAAAGAGAGAGAGCGAGAGAGTGAGAGAGCAAGAGAAAGAGAGGAAGAGGAGGGAGCTTGGGTGAAAGGAAGGGAGGATAGCAAACGGAAGACAAACAAACCTAGATCGTAGGCTTTAGACCAGTCTGCCTGATGCTGCTGCAGTGTCGCTGATGCAGAGGGAGTCCCAAGCAAGATGGAGACTCAAACAAGACCCAGGACAAACCATACAGAATACTCCATGAAACCAATCAAAAACAAGAATTAAAAAAATATTTTATCCCCATTCCTTTTTCTCGACGTAGCTCTGATCTCATCTCACTGTCCATTATTGCTTCTCGGAACAAGTCAAACAAGTCTGACGGTTATTCCTGAATTAAAGATAAAAATTATGCAGAAATCCATTTCACGAAATCGCTTAAAACGTGTCTCATCCGTTAGCACTCTCTTTCTGTGTGCGATCCACACCGATAACCCTGGTCTTGCTTTCTTTCTCTCACAATCGCTCCCTCTCTCTCTATTCTCCCCTCCTAAACTGATCAATACTTCATTTAAATCATGACATTAGCACACTACTACAGGAAAAAGAGGGCGAGAACAAATACAAACGAGCATCTTATTTTAAGCGACACAGTAAAGGATGTTTTATGTCCGAGGACTTCAAGATATGTTGAAAATATAATGCGAAAAACCGAGTACATGCAAGAGTATGGGTTGTACTGCTGTTTTGATTTGAGGTCCAGAGCCTCACACTGATCAATACACATTTAAATTGAGGCTGAGAGAACCATCACAATATCTCATCTCATCAGAACAAGGCAAACATACTATCCCAATTATCATCTCAAATGACTAGTGTCAGGGGACACCAGTCGGATGCTGATAGAGGCATATTTCATATTTATTCAGCAGAATTTTTACATTAGCACCTGAGCGCATAATTGCCTAATATATATGCACACTCACACTTTTATCTATTCACATAATTCACAATGAGCACAATCAATACTGCCCTTTCCATACTGCACCACACTCATAAAGTGCGTCTGCATTAGATCATATAATAAGCCGTTCACAAAACCCCAAGCAAGACTGACTAATTTCCTGGCGCTCACTGAAATTGTGAGCCATAGCAACTGGCTAATCTTCCCGTGCGTCATTAAACCCGGATATTTACCTGAGCAGCCTCGGAGTCACGGGCCTGATGACAGGAGCAGCACATGCTGTTTCAGTCTGTGGACAGTCTCATCCCTGCTGAGTGGCTGAGCAGGGGACGACCAGATCCGGATTTCTCCATTCCGAACATGGGTGAAGAGAGCCGAGAACACAAGAAAAAAGAGAAGAGACAGAGGCATACCGTAAGCCCAACACTAGGCGGGATGTGGTAGAAAGCCAAAGTCGATCAGTCAGGCGAACAGCACTTACATATAGTCTGGCGCCAATGTTGACCAATGAGCAATTAGGTAGACAAGACTAAAGTTATTGATCGGGGGTTCAGGCTCTTTTCTCTGGGCTAACTAGCCTGCCTGAGGTTGTGTGATGGCTGCTACAGATGTGGACTACAACACAGAGAAACACAGTACAAGAGAAAGTGGGAGGAAGAGCAGGGCAGGTCTTTTCCTCCCCAGGCCTTAAGCCTTTGAGTTAGACAACAGACATAATCATTTAGACTGCTATTGATTGCCACAGGCTTAATAAGGCTTTGCATCAAGCAGTCACATACAAAAAGAAAAGGCACTTAGAAGAATCCAAACATCCAATCAAAGATATTATAGAAAGCAAACAGCTACTGTCACTGATAGTTTGCTAACACTGTGAGTGTTGTGTTTCTAATTTCCAGGATAATGAGAGAGATTTAAGTCAAGAAACCGGAGATCGTTCCCCAATACTTAAAGTTGGGAGTAAAGAAACAGAAGAGAAGTTGCATTTTAAGGTCTGTAGGTTCTGATAAGTTACCTTCAAAAGACTTAGCTTCAAATTGATAACATGACAGTACACCTTTAGCACATTCAGGATAACACCGCAAGATGTAAATGTATTTTATGAACTTCATAATATCAGTGGAGCTTTCCCACAAAAACAGATGACATAGAATCTCAGAGGTATTTCAACAATGATATAATTTTGGCCTCTGTACACCACCGCAGTGGATTTTAAATGAAATTGCCAAGATGTGATTAAAGTGCACTTTAAGCTTTAATTAAAGGGATTTAATGAAAGTATTACATTAACTGTTAAAAAAAACCTACAGACATTTTATATATAAACCTAGAGTTTCTAATTTTTTCAAAAGTAAAATATAAGGATTGTTTTAAGTAACTAGATTACAATTTTTTGCAGTCAATGACTGCCTGAAGTCTAGAACCCATGCTGGATTTCCGCCAGTAGTTTTCACTTGCTATAAAACCTCTCTATTTACATTAATGAAGACATCTACTAATTGTAGACAATTGTGATAATTATATGCCTTAAAGTGTTCTATACTTTGACGGATGTTGTAAAGGGATTTTTCTTAATCAAGGAAAGAATTCTGCGATCATCTAGTTTTTAGCAGTATTCTCCACTGTATCTTTTCAAGAAGGTACCAGATTGTTGATTTGGGTTTTCAGCCTAATCATCTCTGCCATCACTTGCATCCACATCTATATTATAACCTCCTACTGAGGGTTCCAGTGTAAAGCTATGAAAAACAAGTTCAACACTTTGAATCAACTCTAAATATTCTAGCATCTTAATTAATAACAGAATAATGAGGGAACCGGTCATATGTTACCATAAAGCTCTCAAACCCCTTGAACTGGGGCTGGACCATATCACAGCTACCAGGGCGAGAGGTGGGGTACACCCAGGGCCATCTTGACTTACTGATCCTAAAATCGATCTCATCACCCTCATACCTTTCTGATCTTTTAAATTGGTACATTCCTGCAAGATCACTGAGGTCTGCGGATCAATTGCTCCTGGCTGTCCCGAGGTCCAGTAAAGCACAGAGGAGATCGGGCCTTTGCTGTGACTGCTCCTAAACTGTGAAATGAACTGCCCCTTCACATCAGAACCTCCCCAACATTGGACACTTTTAAAACCCCATTTGAAAACCCACTTTTATTCCCTGGCTTTTAAATCAGAATGAGTTTGTATTACTTTTTTTTTTTTTTTATTTCTCACTCAAATCTTCTAATTTTATGATTCTTTTTCTTAACTCTTATCATATCTCCCTATGTTTTTATTTCTTTTAATTGTCTTAATTATACAGCACCTTGGTCAACAGTTGTTGTTTTAAATGTGCTATACAAATAAATCTGACTTTGACTAAAATCCATTGGAGACAAAATGACAAAAAAAGTGTCATTGTCAAAAACCTGTGAGTGTATGCTAACTGTGTATGCTAACTGCTAAGCAAAACAAAAACAAAACATTCACTCAACATCTGCAAAAAAATAAATAAATCACTGACACAGGTACTTTGGCTTTTATTTATCTGTGTGAGTGTCTTTTATGGGTTTTTTTTCTTTCTTAATTTTTTAATAAAATTTACCAGCAAAGCTGTTAAGCAAGGGGAAGTTAGAGCTAATGGTATTATAGCAAATACCACTATCCAACAGTAAGGTAATTCCATTTGCTCAGCCCATATAGCTGTATTACCACAAAGCACTTTAATTCACTACATTGAAGTCAACCAAAATCATACTTTGCCTGCTCACTTGAGTTTGTTTTTCCTTTCTTATACAATTTCAGCAGCAGGGCATTATAAACCTGTTCACTGCCATATATGTCTTGCAAAGAACTAGGAAACACATTGAAAGAAATGATTTAAAAAACACATTTCTGTCCAACTTCCCTTCTTAGACAACAAGACTATAAAGGCTGATCCATCCCTCTCTTTTGGCATTTGATTTAGCCATATTATTAGATGCCTTTATTATTTTATTATTTATTTCTATCCATCCATCCATCTGTACATCTTTCAATGCCAAGGACAAATCAAGACTACTGAACAGGATTTTAAGAATGAGTATTTTAGGAAGAGGGGTACGATTGAAAAACATAATTGTAAAATATGGCCATACAAATGTTTCTGTTATCCTTTTAGCAGATAAGATTATCATGTTCATTAAGAAGATGATACTGAGTGGTTGTTAAATATTTGCCAGAATGAACAAGCATTATATGCAGAGGTAATGTTTTCCTCTTTTGTTGTCGCGTGTGCCTTTATATACACTCCTTTCTTGCTTTTTGAAAATCAATTCCGCTATTTCAAAAGAGAGAGGCATGATAATGAAAGGGCACATAAAAAAAACTCTGAGGCAATTGCTCATTCCTCACACCTTCCATTTCCTCTGCATCAGAAGGACACCT